AGGACAGGGAGAGCACGCGGTTAGATACAGAGTAAAGCTCCCTCTACCTTGTCCCCCATCAAACACTCCCAGGACAGGGACAGCACAAGGTTAGATACTGAGTGCGTGACTCACTGCTGCCACATTGTGGTGTCTCTACGAATTGTTTGTTGCTTTGCTTTGTCTTAGACCAGACCCCTCGTTCCCAAAGTAGGAGAGGTCCATCTGCAGTTAGTTGTGTCAGCCAGTTGTTGGGACAGGTTATTACATTCCCCTGCCTAGGGGGAGTGCTTCAGGATATGATGGGGCAGGATTCTGGTAACACTATCTTCCTTTGTCTAGCCCAAGGAAGGTTGGAGCCCAGTACTGGTCACCATCCAAACAGCCACTGTCTGGGCTGGCAGAGACCGAGGAGATCGCGATGAGCAACAAACAGACACCGAGAAGCCTCCCAGCTCGGGGCAGGGGCAAACGAGGGCGACCACCCATCAGATCTCTGGTTGGGAGGTGAGTGGTGTTGCTGGGGTGTGCGCGTGTGTCTGGGCGCGCGCGCGCGTGTGTGTGTGTGTGTGTGTGTGTGTGTGTGTGTGTGTGTGTGCTGTCCCCAGCAATGAGGATTTAGACCTCACTGTGAGCAGAAAACCCAACCAATAGCAGCTGCCCTGAGCAGGGTACGGGCTGAGGCCTAACCCCACTCTCATCATATTCCATCGGTTCCCCAATTTAATTTTTGTTTTATTCACTTGTAGAACATGGGTATCGCCGGCTGAGCCAGTGTTTATTGCCTGTCTCTAGTTGCCCTTGAGAAGGTGGGGGTGAGCTGCCTTCATGAAATCCGTCCATTGCAGAAAGAGGCCATTTGGCCCAATGCACTAAGTCTCCAAGAGTATCCCATGCAGACCCATTTACCTACCCTGTCTCTCTTACCCTGCGTTTCCCATGGCTAACCCCCCCCAGCCTGCAAAACCCTGGACACTACGAGGCAATTTAGCATGGCCAATCCGCCCTAACCTGCACATCTTTGGACTGTGTGAGGAAACCGGAGCACCCGGAGGGAACCCACGCAGACACGGGGAGAATGTGCAAACTCCACACAGACAGTCGCCCGAGGATGGAATTAGGCCATTCCCAGACACTGAGAAGCAACATTGGTACCCATGTGCTATAGATAAATCCACATTGTCCTTGAGGGGGAGAGTTCCAGGAATTTTTTTATTCGCTCACGGTACAGGACTCCTGATTTGTGCCTTGTAGATGGTGGACAGGTTTTGGGGAGTCAGGAGGTGTCTTCCTGCAGTATTCCTAGCCTCTGACCTGATCTTGTCACCACTATGTTTGTGTGGTGAGTCCAGTTTACTTTCTGGTCATGGTAACCCCCAGGATATTGATATCAGGCCATTCCTGATTTTCAGTCTCTGTTGACACTGGGATTTGAGCTCCACATTTGTCTTCGGGATTTAATGTGATTCCTTGCAGACTTGCGTCTGTTCTTTCTCTCTGCTGTTTGATATCTCACACACATCCTCTCTCTCTCTTCTCTTTCTCTGTCACCACCTTCCCCCGGTGTCCCACAGGGAGATGATGCAGACTTCGCCCAGGGCTCGGGGGGAGAATCCATCGAGTGCCACGTCCCCTGAGGAGGAGCCCTACACTCGGATTGCTGCTCGTGCCCCTGAGAAGGTGGGAGGGGTGCCGTACCCGCGCTCGGCCTCACCGGAGATCCCACAAGCCCAGGGTCCGCGGGGTCCTGGCTCCGAGCTCCCGGCCTCTCAGAGCAGCAGCTTCGTGGGACTGCGAGTGGTCGCCAAGTGGTCGTCCAATGGGTATTTCTACTCTGGAGCGATTACCCGTGACTCTGGGGATGGCAAATACAAGGTGCTGTTTGACGATGGCTACGAGTGTGAAGTGCCTGGCAAAGACATCCTGCTGTGTGACCCCATTCCCGTGGAGACCGAGGTGACTGCCCTGTCTGATGACGAGTACTTCAGCGCAGGTATCTGCTCGTTGTGGGGGCTGGGGGGTGGGGAGGGGCACACGGTGGCTGTGATCCCTGTCCCCATGACCCAGAGAGAGCCCACCGTGTGCACTGTTCAAATTTTAAACACAAAAATCCTGCCTGAAATCCATTACAATCCAGAGTGAGGCCATTCTGCCCCTTGAATCTGTACACTGACGGCCATTCAGCCCTGGCTCTAACTGATTAGGGCCAATGTCTCCTGTAATTCCGTTTCCCCACCTTTCGTTCCTTTGGAGTGGAATTTCCAAATATTTGAAGAAATATTTCCCCTCCAAGTCTGTAAACGTCTTTATTCTTTCAAGGAATGTGTATCATAGGTAAGGTTAGCATTTGTTACCCATCCCTAATTGCCCTCTAAATGTGTGGTTGGCTATTTCAGAGGGCAGTCAAGTGTCTGAGAGTCTGGAGTCACAGCAATGCTGGACTGACAGTAGATATCTCTCTCTAAAGAGTGAGCCTGATGGGCTTTTACAATAATCACTGTTCACTTCATTGTTCCCATGAGATGACACGCTCTCTCTCACACGCGCTCTTGCTCTCTCGCGATCATGCACGTGCCCTCACGTGAATGTGCTGCCCCTCTCTCTCTCGCGTGCTCCCAGTCTCTTCCCCCCCCCCCCCGCCCCCCCCCCCGCCCCCCCCCCTCCCCTCCCCCCCTCGCGTGCGTGCTCCTGCTCCCGCTCCCTCCCCCCTCACTCCTCTCTCTCTTGAGCGCGTGCGCGTGCTCCTGCTCCCCACCCCCCCTCTCGCGCACGCACACACACCCCAACACCCCCACCCCAGAGAGTCAGCTGGAAGCGGCCTTTTCCATTCGGAATAAATACACAGCTGCAGCCAGATTCCCTTACCCTTCATCCTTTAATAAAGGTGGTACAGCCATTTCCTTCTTAATTCCTTTCACAATAACGGACCACATTCACAAACAAATCAGGGCCGCACTTATACACTTTATGGTAGGACCCAGGGGAGTGTTACTGAACAGAGACCTTGGAGTGCAGGTTCATATTTCCTTGAAAGTGGAGTCCCAGGTAGACAGGATAGTGTAGGCAGCATTTGGTATGCTTACCTTCACTGATCAGTGCATTGAAATCCCAACTCCTATATACCATGTTGCGGCTGTACAGGACATTGGTTAGACCACGTTTGGAATACTGTGTTCGATACTGTTCTCCCTGCTATAGGAAAGATCTTGTTAAATTTGAAAGGGTTCTGAAAAGATTTACAAGGATGTTGCTGGGGTTGGAGGGTTTGAGCTATAGGGAGAGGCTGAATAGACTGGCACTGTTTTCCCTGGAGTGTCAGAGGCTGAGGGGTGACCTTATAGAGGCTTATAAAATCATGGATAGGGTGAATAGCCACTGTCTTTTTTGCAGGGTAGGGGAGTCCAAACAACTAGAGGAGCATAGGTTTAAGGTGAAAGGGTAAAGATTTAAAAGGGACCTAAGGGGTAACGTTTTCATGCAGAGGGTGGTGCATGTATGGAATGAGCTGCCAGAGGAAGTGGTGGAGGCTGGTACAATTACAACACTTAAAAGGCATCTGGATGGGTACATAAATAGGAAGGATTCAGAGGGATATGGGCCAAATGCTGGCAAATGGGTCCGAATGGGATGTCTGGTTAGCATGGACGAGTCGGACCAAAGGATCTGTTTCCCTGCTGTGTGACTCTATCACCCCCAAATCTATCTGAACCCAGCAGTGACAAATCTCTCAAATTCTTTTTAAAAATAAAAATAAAAATTGCTTTTCTCTTCTGCACACAGCTCTGTGGGTGTCCCTAGAGCACATGGGCTGCAGCAGTTGGAGAACCCACCTGATCTGGGGCAATTAGGGATGGGTAATAAATGTAGACCCAGTCAGTGACATCCTTGTCTTTACACAGAGGATGGTGTAAATCCTTGCACCGTCTCCTAGGGGATGCAGTGTTTGCTGGGAGCACTTGGGGCTTTCGATGCTGGAGAGAGTGTAACAAAGGTTTCTGCGACTAAGTCCTGGTCTGGCAGGTTTGATGGGTGAGAGACTGGGTCAGTTAGGACTACACTGACTGGGGTTTCAAACAATGAAGGGGCACTCTCGTGGAAACCTATATGTTAGGTCCACACAGGGTAAGGACGGAAAGGATGTTCCTGATGACTGGGGGTGGGCTCACAGTCTCAGGATAGGAGTAGGACTAATGTAAGAATTTTCTTAGTGATGAGTTTGTGGAAACATCTGCTACTGAATGTGCTTGAAGCCAAAACGTTCAACGTTTTCACTTAGGAGTTAGAGAGAGTTCATCGGTTTAAAGGGATCAGAAGACGTGGGGAGAAAGTGGGGACAGGGCAAGAAGTTGGATGATCAGTCATGATCATACAGAATAGCAGAGCAGACTGAAAGGGCCGAATGGCCTATTCCTCCTCCTGTTTCGACGTTTGTGGCTGTGCAGGTGCTTGGTGTTTTGGGTGATGTGGACGTGGGCTGTGGTCCAGCCCTCCTCTGGGAGAGAAGGCTAATGTGTCACCGGGGACGAGAGTAAATGTCTGGTTGTTGCTCTGCCCGCAGGGATCGTGAAAGCTCACAGGAAGGAGGCCGAAGAGTTTTACTACTGTATTGAGAAGGATGGCCTGCAGAAGTGGTACAAGAGGATGGCAGTCATCCTGTCGCTGGAGCAGGGCAACCGGCTCAGGGAACAGTTTGGGCTCGACCCCTGCGAGGTCACCACCCCTCTCACCATGGCAGCTGACATCAGCTTGGGTAAGCAGGTACCATAGCTCCCACCTGGTTTGGGGTGGGGGGGGGGGGGGGGGGGCCGCGGGGGGGGGGGGGGGGGGGGGGGCCCGGCAGGGAGCAGGGTTGTGGGGACAAGCTCTGTGCTGCCGTGTTGCTGTGGGCATCGCCATCCCTTTGTAGACCCTTCACCCGTTACTGGGACCCCAGCAGCGAATGCTATCGGGCTGTTCGACTGCAGTGGGCATCGCTGAGCCTGATCTCCTTACCTGTTGCGAGGTAGGTGGCTGGGATTCCTGGCCCGTTTTGTTGGTGGGAAGTGGGGAGGGTGGTTTTGTTGGTGGGAAGTGGGGGTCAGGGGGACATTGGGGAAGGAGTTGGTCATTCTGTAGGGAGCCCTGGATAAAGCCTGGCATTGCCCTCTTCCGGATGACTGAGTCCAGAGTGGGCAATAGGTATATGTGGGCCAGAACGACATCTGACCACCAGGAGGCCATTCAGCACCTTGTGTCTGTGCTATCTCTTTAAAAGACCTCTCCAATTCGATCCACTCTCCTTTTCTTCCCCATGTAACCCTTCTGTTTATTTGATTTCTCCATTTTCCACAGAATTTGTTTCCTTTCAGGAAACACGCTCCTGGTCACAGCAGCTCAGTGTGTTAAGAAAACGTCTTCTCATCTCTCCAAGACTTTTTCAGTAATTTACTGAAACCGGCGTCCTGTGGTTTCATACCGGCTTGCTGTCAGAATCTTTAATCATTTTGGACAGCTATGTTTGGTAACTCATAGGAGCACAATCTCACCCCCTACCCTCCCCCTTCACTCCTCACAAACCTGTCACCTCATGGCATGGTCACTGTTCAGATCTTTCAGGGCGGCACGGTGGCTCAGTGGTTAGCACTGCTGCCTCACAGCACCAGGGACCTGGGTTCAGTTCCACCCTCGGGCGACTGTCTGTGTGGAGTTTGCACATTCTCCCTGTGTCTGCGTGGGTTTCCTCCGGGTGCTCCGGTTTCCTCCCACAGTCCAAAGATGTACAGGCTAGGGTGGCTTGGCCATGGGAAATTACCCATCGTGTCCAGGGATGTACAGCCATGCGAAATGCAAGGTTACAGGTAGGGGGGCTTGGGTCTGAGTGGGATGCTCTTTGGACGGTCAGTGTACACTCGAAGGGCTGAATGGCCTGTTTCCGCACGGTGGGGATTCTATCCTTCCTGAGGAGGATGCCCAGACTTTCAGTATGGCTGAGGTCCCAGCCAGTGGGTTACAAATGTTTGGCATGAATTCCTTGCTTGTTTCATTCTGTTTGTTTGAATTTTACAAGGCAGTGTGAATTAATCAGCTGTCCTAGCTATGTAGTGGACGACTGGGCCTCTCTGTCCCTCTAATCTCTCCAGCCCTGTGATGCTGAGCTACCTGTGTACAGCCAGCCGAAATCTTTTGTGAGTCCCCTGTTTCCGTCTCTCCCTCCCTTTTTATAACACTTTTTTTTTGTTCAAACCCCGAGACTTTTGTCACCGGGCCGTGCGGATCCAAGTCAGATATCGTTGGCTGAAGTTCTGATGATGTGCTGTGGGAGATTTTGTCGCTGGGGCGTTTGAAGGTGCTACACAAATGCAGGGTGTGGTTGAACGGCTGGGCCAGAGCAGCTGTGTGGGGCCCAGTTGTTCAACCACACCTTGCGTTTACTTCGCACCTTTTTAAGTACAGTAATGAAGCCTGCCGCGGGACTTTGTCGGGGCGTTGTCCTGAGGTCCGGGGTGGGGGGGGGGCGGGGGGGGGGGGGGGGCACACAGCTCTGGAGGGTTCCCTCTGCCCCGTGGGCTGTGTCTTCAGTGACGAGGCGATGTCTTGTTGCGACAGATAACCTGGTGGAGGGGAAGCGTAAACGCCGCAGCAACGCTGGGTCCAGTACTCCGACCCGGAAACAGGGGGAGAGCCCCCGGGGTCCGGCCTTCTCCGGGAAGCGGAAGCTGATGGGCTCGGATGAGGAGCGCTCTCCAGCGAAACGTGGTCGGAGACCGGGGACTGCAAAATCCGGTAATGGCCGGGCTGTTTGGGGGAAGGGGGAAGGGAAGGTGGGAGTCAGTAGCAGCTCACAGAGAGGCCATTCATCCCATTGTGGCTCTGCCAGCTCCTCGTGAGAGCGATGTCTTTGATCCCAAGCTCCTCCCTTTTATTTTTGGCTATTGACCCAGGTCCCTTTAGAGGTTGGGAATATTGGAGAGTGCCATCAGCTCACCAGGCTTTCCCAGCGGAGATATGGAGGTTGTAGTGAGCAGGAATGATCAGGAGGTTGAGTCAGAGTGCACTGAGACAGTGCAAGGGTTTGACAAGGCGTGGGGGGAACACACATAAACACCGTGTCTCCACTTTTGTGTTGGGGATTCAAACTAGAGACCCCTGACCATGACCCTAGCCTGTAAAAGACATTAATGAATCCAACTGGGAATTGAGGAGTAACATCTCCATCTGAAGAATAGAGAGAACATGGAACTTTCGTGATGGGGATGGGGGAATGGAGTCGAGGTCTGCCTCTGTTTTGAAGGGAAGCTGGCTAAGTATTTGAGGGAGAAGAGAACAGAGCAGGACCTGGGATAGACCGTGAAGATTGGAGGAGTCTAGAGAGTTGAGGGGGTGGGGGGGATAGTCACAGGTTGGGCAGAAGGGCCTGCTTCTGTAGATTCTTTGTAACGAGCTGTGCTTTCCGCACTACAGCGATCCTGAAGCCGACTGGGTTTCTCAGCCCCTCCGAGGGGGAGGTCTCCAGCGAATCCAGCTCCATGTTGGAAACCCAGCACGGCCCCATCCCAAAAAGGCCCACCCTGTTTGTGGGCTACGCCTTCATCCTGACAGCAGCGAGTGAGTCAGACCGCAGGACCAACAAGCAAGCTCAACCCGATGGAGCCATCAGCAGCGAGGAGGAGGAGGGTGAGATCATCTGTCCTGGTTCCCACACAGTCCCCAAACCAACATCCACCTCCCCTCCCCCAGTCACCGTCTCACCATCCCCCCCCCCCCCCCCCCCCCCCCCCCCCCCCCCCCCC